TCTCTCTCTCTCTCTCTCTCTCTCTCTCTCTCTCTCTCTCTCTCTCTCTCTCTCTCTTTTCTCTCTTTTTATTTCTGAAATTTTCATGCTAGATAAAATGCGTTGTTAGGTACACTAATGAAAAAAGCTTCTTCTAATAGCAACGGCTCTTAACGACGAGTCCATGGGAAAGAGAAGAGAAAACGTGATCGAATGATGGGATTGAGGTTGTAGTCAACTGTTAAGTTTCACCACAAGATAAAGAGTAGTGAAAAGGAATCATAGGTCTCTGGAGGTGAAAAGGGAGAAGGCTTGAACCAAATAGGAATTGTATGTTGTTTGGGAATGAAAACTAATATTAAGAATAATTATACTTATAAATTTATATCCGGTTAAATAACCATTTTAATTATAGGTATTATAATTTGTTAAAAGGTAATTTTATGTTTAGCTGAACACGTAATTCTAATCATGTTTTGTGAATTATTAGAGAGTTAATTATTTAATTTGAACTAAATTATGTTTACCGGCTATTTGAACAATATGATTTTTATTTTGTATCAATCTTATATATCAAAAGAGAAGTCATGACTTCACTTCATGAGTGATCTTTTAAAATAGACCATCTAATAGAATTTATGACATTACACTATTCAATCATTAATAACAATTAGATTCACTAATAACATTTATTGGGCTTAATAGAAATTTTTATTGGGCTAATAAAAATTAGATGATCCATTGGATTTATAGATATTATAATAAAATACATGTTTAAATTAAACTTATATAATTTAATATTGTAATAGTATAAGTTAATTATTTATATATTTTTGATGTTAACTTTAAAAATTAGATAGTTTATTTTTAAAAATAACAAAATCATCATTTTAGTAATTAATCTATACTATATAATAGTTAATCATCATTTTCGATATACACACCTTATATAATATATACCAATTTAAAAAATATATTTAAGACATTTTGTCATTTAACAAATACGGAAACATCACATATATTGAAGTGGCAGATTTTAATACATTGTACCAAGTGAAATTAATATATATATATATATATATATAGTCAAATTTCATACATTGTACTGATGGAATATAAAGATATTGCAATAATCCAAATTGTTAAACATGAAATTTAAAGATATAATATAGTATTTAGATTTCATATTACTCTTAGATAACTTTTAATATTAATTGTTAGTATGTAATGTTTTGCTATAAATACATAAAGTTGTCACTAAGGGAAACATCAAATCAAATTTTCTTTTCCAAATCATATTTATTTCGTTTTCATTTAACCCTTTAATGAAACCTATTAGGTCATTTTGATTTTTGGATGCTATATAGGGAATATGAACTCAAAAAAAAAATATTTAAGACATTTTGTCATTTAACAAATACAGACACATCACATATACTGAGGTGGCAGATTTTAATACATTGTCCCAAGTGAAATTATAATATATTTAGTCAAATTTCATACCTTGTACTGATGGAATATAAAGATATTGCAATAACCCAAATTGGTAAACATGAAATTTAACCATATAATATAATATTTTAGATTTTATATTACTGGTAACTCTTAATATCAATTGTTGGTATGTAATGTTTTGCTATAAATACATAGGGTTGCACTAAGGAAACATCAAATCATATTTTCTTTTCCAAATATCAAAAACATGGCAAAAAACATGGAAAATAACATGGAAGGAAACATGGAAAAAAAAAGTAGGGGTCGTCAGAGGATCAAAATGGCCAAGATGGAAAATAAGAGTAACCTTCAAATTACTTTCTCCAAAAGAAGATCCGGTCTTTTCAAAAAAGCTAGTGAGCTTAATACACTTTGCGGTGCAGATATTGCCGTTATTGTGTTCTCACCCGGTGGAAAAGTCTATTCTTTTGGTCATCCAAATGTTGAAATCATGGTTAACCGATTTAAACATATTAACCATCCATTTCCTAATCCAAACAACAACATGCGACTTAGTGAAGTGAAGCCGCATACTCTCATTCAACTAATGAACGACTTTCTTACTCAGGTGACTTCTTATCGTGCTGTTCAATATTATAATCTTTTATATAAATCATAAAAACCCTGATGTTGTATTCAATACCTACATGTTAGTTTTAACAAATAACTAATATATTATACGGTGAAATATGTGTGTTTCTCTGTATATAGAATATAATTGTATACTGGCATGTAATACTGTAGAAATTGATGTCATAATTTATATATTTGTTGGTATTGTGCTATTTAAAGGTTCTTAACATAGGTATATATGTTTTTTTTTTAGGAATTGATTTAAGATGATACCAAAGTTGATCTTTTACACATTTATTTGAAAATAAGTTATTTTATATTTTTTTCAGGTGATGGATGATTTGGAAACATCAAAAAAGAAAAATGAAGAAATTAGTGGGAAAATCCCGTTGAAGAAATTGACTTGGCTCATGCCCAAGAATTATTAGTTGGAGTGGAAAACGCGAAAAAGTTGTTGTAGATGAGACTTCCAATTTTTTCCAAGTTTTTCCCCATCCAAATTTCTGTGTCGGAAGTTCCAGTGATGCTTTTTTTAGGGAAATTGGCTATATCAACCCTAATTTGGACCAGTCTGAACAAAGAAGAATGTTCAACGTGAGTACATGCTACAACCAGAACATGTATCCTCCCATTTATCAGCTACCGCATGGAAACAATAGTTATGCTGGAGGATATGTTCCAGATCAATACAACTTAAATTGCATGCGTGCGATTAATCAGTACCAGAACCAGATCCAAAACCAAAATATGGGTTTTAGAGATGAAGGCATCTCCGATAATGAGCGTCATCAAGATGGCCATCCTCCTTATTTCTGATCTGATTGTGGCTGATCATTTCTATATGATCCAGTGGAATCTCGAGATTAAAAAAAATGTTTGATGTTATCCTCATTTCTTTTTAGTATGATGTATTTCTTTTCTTTCATAGTTTGTTGTGTTTTTCAGAGTTGGTTTGCTATTGGTGTCGTCGAGACTTTCATTGCTTTGAAAATCAAACTTTCTTTTACTTAATAACAATAATAAAGTTTTTAAAAAAAAAATTTCAATCACCACTACAATCTTTATATCATTTATCAATTATATTATAAAAATATTATTTTTTAGTACTTGTTATTTAATATCCATATTGCATACCATTTTTCAAAATTTTATTTTTGATATCTAAAAACAAAAGTTTTTTTTTAATTCATAACTTATATTAAAAATGGTAAATCTACAATTTAAATTAGTGGCACTTAACGTATTTTATTTAAGAATAATTTTTCAGGTATAGAATAATAGTCATTATTGTCTCCATAAATTATAACACCAAGTAACAGTTTTTAAAGTTAAAATCTTTACGGTCAAAAGCAGTCGTTTAAAAACTATTTTGACAATCGTTTAAGAACTAAATATATATATATATATATATATATATATATATATATATATATATATATATATTTAGATGAAAAGATAACTCTTTCAAAATCAACAAAATTTAGAGGATGTATATATATATATATACATCACCATCAGTGTCAAATAGTAAAATTTCTAGATATTACCTTCATGAACACAATTATAAATATTTTGACAATCGTTTAAAAAATAAATATATATATATATTTAGATGAAAAGATAACTCTTTCAAAATCAGCAAAATTTAGAGGATGATAAGGGGAGAACGAATCAAATACGTAGCTAGTATAAATAGTGATGTATTAATTTATTTGGATTTATCGAGTATTACAATATTGCACTTTAGCATATGAACTAAGTATCTAATTGTAATGAGAGTAGATATACATGGAAACGGAAGCGGAAGCGGAAGCGGAATCGTATGGAAGCGCGGAATCAATATTTTTTAAAAAAATTAGGAAGCGGGTAAGTGTTGGAAGCGTATATCCAAATATACATAAATATATATATATATATATATATATATATAAATATAAGAAAATTTTATAAAATTTAACTAAGAATTATATGATTCTAATTTAAAATAAAGTATTTATTCATTTATCATAATTTTAAATGATTGCATATGATAATTGTGAAAATACGAATAAATTAAGTTTATAAACAAATATTACCAATTAGTTAGTTTACATTTAATAAATAATTGGCACACAATATTTGAATATATATATATATATATATCTAATAAAATTAGTGCTTAGATATGATTTATAGTATTAATATTAGTATTTACATATATATATTCTCACTATATATATATTTTATAAAAAATAAAATAATTTTATTTTTTATTTATTTATATATGATATTGTGTTTTTAAAATTGGAAGCGTGATTCCAAAGTGGAATCATAAGCTTCCAACATGTTTTTATAAAAGATATATTAGAAGCATTTTGGAATCGAGATTCCGCAAGCTTCCATAAGGTTCCGATTCCGATTCTGGTTCCGAAGCGGGAAGCGCATGTCCGATGAAGCTTCCGTGCAACGTAGGTTATGAGATTATTTCCCTTGTTTTAACTCGTGATTTCCTTTAATAAAAAGTACTCCCGCCGTTTCACTTTATTTGTCATTCTAGGTTTTTACACACATATTAAGGAAATATTTAATTTTACATATTTTCAAGATAAAAACACAATTACCTATACACCTAACCACTTTTCAACCAATAGAAAAATAGAATATCATATAAAACTAATAAAGTTTGCCTCGAAACTCTAAAACGACACTAATTTTGAAACAAATTTTTTTACTTAGAATGGTAATAAATTCGAAACTGAGAGAGTACTATTTAGTAGATAATATATTGTTACTTAACAATTAGTGTGGCAAAACCGGTTGTGTTACAACACGGAGGCGACGAAAGTCATTTCAGCTCTTGATTGTGATCAGAATCACAATTCGAGGCGGTGATGAACGAATACAACGACAAATCTAGAAATGAGTGGCGATTGTGTTTATGGTGACTCATGCGATGTCGAAAGAAAAAAATGATCGAGGATAGTCCAATTACTAAGGAAACATAGGAGGATTTCCAGATCGAAGCACTAAATATAGATTTGGAACTCCTCAAAGGAGGTTACGTTCGACTCAATCGAGCGATAAAGGAGTCCGATGAAAGGTTCGAGGCGGTTAACCATCAGCTACAATCAATCCTTCGAATTCTTGAGAATCTGGAGCAGCAGAACGCATATCAACAGTGTTCAAGGCCAAGATCTTCGATGAATCAGATATACACTTCTAATTCGGAGCAAAACCAGGAAAAACGAGTGCTAGGTTATATATCTGGGAATTTGTATGTAGCAACAAGATATTCTATGTTATAGAAGATACAAATGTCAGTGTTCTCACTGGGAAATGGCCATATGTGTGGATGACAAAGGTGGAGAGATGGTTTAACATTGGAAGATATGTCGATGAGGAGAAGCTTGAGCTGGTGGGACTGAGTTTGTAAGCGAAAGTACAGAATTGGTTTGGTTGGGAACTGAAGAGGAAAGGTTTTCAGAATTGGGAAGGGTTTAAAGAGAAGCTGGTGCTCAGATTTTCTGAATCGCTCGAAGATTAACCAACAATACGCTTATTGTCCATTAAGAAAACATGTTCAATTGGCGATTATGTCTCAGAATTTGAAGAGCTATTGGAGTTGGTACCTAGTTTGGATGGTCATCACTTGATAAAGATAGTTTACAACGGTTTGACACATGAAATAAAGAGGTTATTCGTATGAAGAAACCAATTGGTTTGGAGAATCACATTGCCGCATTGTTAATAATCGAATCAAGTGCCTTTTGTCGTGTGGTGGGAGAGTCAGCAAGAAGTGATTCAGGGGGTAAGAAGAGTTCTTACTCATATCCATTCAAGACTACATCAACCTATAATGCATCCAGAACACAATTGGAAGGAGAGGGGAAGCATACCAGTACTAGAGGGAGTATTATAGGTCAGAGTCAAGGTAAGAGTGAGAGTGTAACTGCAAATATATCTTGAGATATGAGACCTCAAAAGAAATACTCAGATGCAGAACTTGATAGGTTGAGAAATGATCTATCAATACTATTAAAACTGAAGGCTTTTTTTTAAAAAAAAAAAAAAATGCCCTTCTGTTTCAACAAGATTTAGAGATCTCTGCCACTGGAAAATTTTAAAGCTATGATTTTTATTAAATCCTTTATTTTCCAAATAAAAAATTGAGAAAATCTTATTGGAGTCCAACCGTCCAGATATTTACAAATTCCTGTCACTAGAATATTTATTAGCTATGTTTTTATTTAATGTTTTTTAATTAAACAATAAAGCAAATTCATTAATTGTATGTTACTATAATTCAGTTAGAACAGTTCCTTTCAATATGATCTAAACTAAAACATATCCACGTACTAACTATGTAAACCCACAACACATAAACTATCATTATATAAACCAAAATTTGAATGTGGCAACAACTGAACCCACCAAACGTAAACATAAACCATCATATATGAGTATTAAATTAAAAACTAATATTTATTCAAAAGAACGACATCAAACATAGTTCTCGAATTAACCCATATCGAGACAATTAAACTGTATATCTTAAAACTTATATTATCAATACGTATATCATCAAATATGTTATATGTAGAAATCATCATATCACATCAAACACTAGCTGTAAATCTTAAAACATATATTATTACATATATCATCGAACATGTTATATGTTTAAAATGATTTTTGTAGTAAGATATGAAACAAAAAAAATAAAAACAATTTATTAGATTATTTTTATAGATATCAAATGGAAAAAATCTCGGGATTTGTTAATATTAGCAACAATTAAAATAATTTTGGTTAAAAATCCCATGTAAAAAATAATGGAATTTTTAATTATTATTATTAATGGGAATGAAAAGGAATCAAAGAATCAGGAAATGTTACACCAATAAAATATTTTTGCAAAATCAAAATATATTAATTTCATCAACAATAACAATTTTCATTTTTTCTATAGTAGTGAATCCAATTAGTCATGAACCTACATACAAATCGTGTTTTTAGAGAATATTTTGCGTATTTAACAAACAAAAAAAACTATAAATATATTATATGCTCTAGAATATTCTTACTATTTCGTGTTTACTATTTTACATATCCAGAAACCTAATACCTACGATCAAATCCTATAAATATAGACCAAACCCTATCGACTAACCATCCTAAAACAAAACTTCTTAGTGTGATTCACAAGAGCTGTAGGTTCAAGAGAGATCAAAGGTCGTGAAAAACTACATATATTAATTTGCCATGAAAGAATATATTACATAAGAACTCACCTTATCTAACTCTCTTTGTTTACATATGTAAATGGCAACGTCTTCGATATGGGTGAAATCGAAGTCGTGCATTGTTTTGGAAAAGAAAAAAAATAGTGAAGTTTATGTTATGGGACATGATCGTGTTTTAGTATTATATGGGTATTTTATTTATTAGTATTTAGTTAAACTAACTTCATGTGTATCTAGGCTTTGCAGGTTTTTGTAGCATTACGAGAAGATATCACGTGGTTAATTTAAGACGAGATTCTGTATTGGTAATTTCTTAAAATTTTCTAATGTAAATAGATTGTGACAATTATATCTTTTGACCCGCTATATTTTCATGAAAGAATATCTTACCCTATTTTTAAAATAATATTTTATTTATATAGAAAACAAAATTATCTTGCATAATTCTACTCATAACTTATTAAAAACTACAATTCAAGATTAGAAAATTTAATTAAATTAAAATATAAAACATTTAAACATAATCCCGCACCATAATATTAGTATGCAAGTATAAAAAGATATGTAAAATAATTAAAATCTCTTTTATAGACA